TATCTATATTCTGGCTTTTAGTGGGGGCCTGTCGTTCCAGTTGAGTAGTACCATATTTTCCCATTTTGTCTTTCTAATTCGAGAACTGCAGTAGTGTATCTATTCTATTCTCATTTTACTGTATAATGTCAGGCCTCAAATTAAAATATATCTTTTTTAATGTCATGCTTATTAATAAAATGAGGAGCTAATAATGCAAACTGATCCTAGGGCCCAATAGAACTTTCACACATTACATATTTAAACTGATCATGCTTTGTTAATGTTGCAGTCCTGGCTAAAATTTCCCTACCTGGCTTCCCAGTATCTTGTGCAGCCACTGCACTGCAGTCCCTAAAGCAGACAATTTTGTCCACAAAGGTCACGGTGAATTGTGTTCTAGAAGAACAAACATTGGAGAGAAATTTTAAAAAAATGCTGACAGTGACGAGGCGCTGGCTGCATCCTCAACATTAGACACAAAATAAACCGCACGGTTACAAAGGTCTGTGCTTTGTATTCCATGCATAAAGAACTGCTTCCTAGAAAATGTAAATGTCACTTTAATATCCCCCCTCAGTGATTTCCTTTTTGCTTGTTTAATTTTTAGTCCGAAGACTTGAAAATATACATCCTGGCTATCTGAAGTCCTCCATCAAAGCATTGCTTCGGGCAATTGCAGTATCAGTATATTATGTACCTACCTGTTACTTTATGTTTAGGGCATTTCAATCTTTTACACATGTGCGACTTGTGGTGAATTGGCAGCTGAATTTTAAAATATAGGTCAATAAAGCTACATTTTGCAATTAGTTTGTCTAAGTGTACTGTTTAGTGAACAGGATTACTTACTGAAGTGAAAATTGTCAGGAAATTGAAGTAGATTCAAACTGTATTTAAAATGTAAGGCCAAAGTAGTCGAGCTGGCAGCATAGTCACCTTGATTTTTTTTTCTTTCATTTTTGGCTACTTTAGCCTTAAATTTGAAGTTGACTTTGAATTCCTGACAATTTTCCTTTTAATGAATAACCCGTTACATTTATTAGTCATACATGTTTCTTAACACAGTTCATATTTAGGAAGTACTATACAACACTGGGTCATAGGGCAGGTTTGAGGAATGAGGTGGGTATAATGTACATTTTGCTTACACAAGCTTGCATTTGTCCCTTAAACTGTGTTTCAAGGGAAAGTATAAGGAGATACTCATCTCCCTTTTCAATACATTATAAGAATACAGCGATACATAACTTCAAAGTTTAATTCAACATATTGCTTAGTGGGTTTGCCAGCAGCTACAGATAGAACCCTCCTTAACCCCTTAAGGACCAAACATCTCGAATAAAAGGGAATCATGACATGTCACACATGTCATGTGTCCTTAAGGGGTTAAAGGGATCCTATAGTGCCAGGGAAACAAATCAGTTTTCCTGGCACTATAGGCTCTTGGAGTGCCCCCCTCCCTTGGTGCTAAAGGGGTTCAGCCTTCAGCCACTTACCTTAATCCAGCGCCGATGTCCTTCGGCACTGGTGACCACTCCTCCCCCGCCGACGTCAGCTCCCGAGTGGAGCTGAATGCGCATGCACGGCCATAGGCGTTTGCGCATTTAAACCCGCACATAGGAAAGCATTACTCAATGCTTTTCTATGGGGATCTTATTTGACACTGGACTCTGTGAGAACGTCCAGCATCAAATAAGTGTGATTTACTCTGTGTCAATCGCGGAAGCGGCCACTTGTGGCTGTCAGGGAGACCGCCACTGGAGGCTGGATTAACCCTGCAGTGTAAACATAGCAGTTTCTCTGAAGCTTCTATGTTTTCAGCTGCAGGGCTAAAACTAGGGGGACCTGGCACCCAGACCACTTCATTGAGCTGAAGTGGTCTGGGTGCCTATAGTGGTCCATTAACCGTGAAGCAACTCTTATCACCTAAACTCGTGCTGTGCAGTTGTGGAGCAGCTCATTAAAAATAACTCATTATCTGAAAAGATAATGAGCTTTAACATACAGGACAGAGTCATTGCACAGTAACCACTCTAGCAATCTGAAGTGGTATTCGCTCATCGAGTGACTCTTTAAGATATGTAATAAAAAAACAGTTTTTGCCAGTCAAGGATCTGTTTTCTTTTCCCCCCATTAAAATACTAACTGGCATCAAACAAACATACAGATCATCTTTCTACAGGTCACACTTAAAACACAACTTTCACTTTTTTAAGCACAGTGTTGTGTGTGTCTTGTTGCTCACAACAGAAGCCACAGTGACTGTCATGATCTTGAGCAGGTCAGATAGGAGACTTTGGCCAGTTGTTATTTGAGACTTTATTGGTGCTTTTAGACAGATTATGAATCTTGAGAAAAAACAGAATTAAGGCAATATGCCACAAAACAGAATACTTGCAAATAATAAAGAAAGACTGTGATCTCCAAGTAGGGTTGAAACAAAGGCACATTGGTATCAAAGGCAGGCTGGTTACAGGGGAAAGCTGATAACAGAGGTAGGTTTGTAACACAGGAAGGCTGGTAACAGAGGCAGAGGTCAAAATTATAAGTAAGAGTTGAGCAGGTTTGAAGGTAAGTCTGGAGCAGGTTGGTATGGAGCAGGGTTGAAGGGAAGTCTGGAGCAGGGTTGAGGGTAAGTCTGGAGCATGTTCACTGGAGGAGCCAGGAACTGAAGTATTTCAGGCAAATCACCAACGTCAATGTAAAGGCCCTGAGGTTATTGGGTGTACACTTTTGTAGCCAAAGTTGTTAAACATGAGCAGGTGAGATTCCAGAACTAGAGGCAAGGGAGACCACTAGTGGTAAATAATAAAATCAGAGCAGGAACTTGTTTTAAAGAAACAGAAATAAAAGGAACAAAAGTCTTGTTTGTCAGGATATGATCCTGACAGTGATTCTCTTGGTTCTAATTTTCCTTTTGTTTACATTGTTAAGCTGGAGAAACTTTCAGGTAAATGTACGGAGTGTGGAAATGTTGGGAAGTGAAAGAACTTGTGTTTTGCTTAGGAGTTTTATGTTCAAGATAATGAATAAGCACAGTTGACTAAATACAGCGGCCACCCACCATCCACCTAAGCTGGAGCCTGATTACAGCCATTTTCTGAAACGATGTACTGCAAAACTTCAATATCCGTCTAACTTTATTCAGAATTAACAAGCACTTACAGAACTTTATATCTGCTGTGAAATTATGTTTCAAAACCAATGGGTCAGCATAAAAATGTAAGGTAAACAAAAACAAAAATCACAACTGATGAATCATTTGTAAAATCTCACACAGCTACCATGGATTGGAAAAAGATGCCTTCCAAAATGTGTTATATTTATCAAATATGTATTTGTGAGGTGTGAAAAAGAAAATTGAATGTTGAAATCCAATCCTCATTATCCTGCAATTGGGAGCCTCTATCTTGATCTTGTCAGTCATTGTTATGACCTCTGTCCTTTGCCCTTTGCAGTCAGCATTGAGAAAGCATACAAGGAAAATTAGAAATTACTGAGTAAGACTAAGAAAAGTTGTCTAAAATAGTAAAACTGGCTCAATCATGAAAACCAAGCAGGCACATTCCATTGTCTGAGAGCCACTAGAGGCTGTCTTAAAGGGACACTATAGTCACCTGAACAACTTTAGCTTAATGAAGCAGTTTTGGTGTATAGAACATGCCCCTGTAGCCTCACTGCTCAATCCTCTGCCATTTAGGAGTTAAATCCCTTTGTTTATGAACCCTAGTCACACCTCCCTGCATGTGACTTGCACAGCCTTCCATAAACACTTCCTGTAAAGAGAACCCTATTTAGGCTATCTTTATTGCAAGTTCTATTTAATTAAGATTTTCTTATTCCCTGCTATGTTAATAGCTTGCTAGACCCTGCAAGAGCCTCCTATATGTGATTAAAGTTCAATTTAGAGATTGAGATACAATTATTTAAGGTAAATTACATCTGTTTGAAAGTGAAACCAGTTTTTTTTTCATGCAGGCTCTGTCAATCATAGCCAGGGGAGGTGTGGCTAGGGCTGCATAAACAGAAACAAAGTGATTTAACTCCTAAATGACAGTGAATTGAGCAGTGAAATTGCAGGGGAATGATCTATACACTAAAACTGATTTATTTAGCTAAAGTAATTTAGGTGACTATAGTGTTCCTTTAACCCTGAGAAACTGCAATAATTAACATTGCAGGGTTAGGAGGACAGGGACATTGCACCCAGACCTGATCTGGGTGCCTATAGTGTCTTAAGTCAGATGAGAAGTCTTAATTGTCTGATGTGATGTAGGCAAGGCATGGGCAGTCATGATGATACTCACTCAAACCAAGGTCAAAACCAAAGCATGTTAAAGGACCACTATAGTGCCAGGAAAACATACTCGTTTTCCTGGCACTATAGTGCCCTGAGGGTGCCCCCACCCTCAGGGACCCCCTCCCGCCCGGCTCTGGAAAGGTAAAAGGGGTTAAACTTACCTTTTTCCAGCGCTGGGCGGGGAGCTCTCCTCCTCCGATCCTCCCCTCTCTGCTCCTCCCTCACGGCTTTTTCGAATGCGCATCGTGCTACGCAAGAGCCATGCTACAGATTCAGTTGGCTCATAGGAAAGCATTCATAATGTTTATGGACGCTATGCTCTCACCGTGAAAATCACAGTGAGAAGACGCAAGCGCCTCTAGTGGCTGTCAATGAGACAGCCACTAGAGGATTAGGGGGAAGGCTTAACCCATTCATAAACATAGCAGTTTCTCTGAAACTGCTATGTTTATGAAAAAATGGGTTAACCCTAGCTGGACCTGGCACCCAGACCACTTCATTAAGCTGAAGTGGTCTGGGTGCCTAGAGTGGTCCTTTAATGCTATTCCTAAAGAACACACACCGGGCACACCGGATAAAGGGAAAATTCAAAGTGATTTCTAGATCAAAATAGCAGAACTTCAAGCATAGCTGACTTTTCCAATATGGCCATTTTGAATTAAGTGAATAACCCTGTGTGCGCTACTACATATCAGTGTTTCACTTACTTTAAAAATGTTCATTTGCAACCATCTAAATACCAATTAAAATTTGAATTGCAAAAAAATCAAATTGAAAAAAAACATTGTGATTGTAGAAAATGTTTACAGAAATGTTTGCTTTGGTTTTGCAATGTAGATTTGAATTTAGTACAAATCTGAATTTAGTGAGTAACCATAACAGAAGAAAAAAAAACCCCATGCTAAACAAGTTGTCTCCATTGAGCGTTTATAGCTTTGCCAGATGTGTTTTTGATTAACGGCAGATCTGATAACCATATGGTCTAATGCTTCATAGAATGTTCTGGCAGAACCCACTTTAAAATATTATGTGACCCTTCCATGATCAACCCCTTAGAATGTTAATAATGTCAGGTGTATTTATATGGTTGCAAATTATTATTTTTAAGGTAAGTGAAACACTGATGTGTAGAACACAAACAGCAGGGAAACTCCGACATCCATGAACACAAATTGAATGCAGTGTAATGTTTCTGTTGATGTGACAGCTCTGCTTTCTGATGCTTGATAAGCACAGTTCACCTCCTGACAATGCAGAATCAGGTTCTGTTCTATAGTGAGGTGTGCATTGTTACATCATTCTAAGACACCAATGGCTTCCATGCTGCATTCTATGACATCATACATACACATTGTGTCAGAATCTAGCAAATCTCTAGCAAATACCTTACACATCTATAAAGGCCTGCTGTACCCTACACTTATTGCACCTGCTCTGGTTTGAATCAATTCCATGTACGTTTTCTGGTGTGGCTTTGGCCTTACCATAGAGTATTCTGATTTCTAGTTCCCTGATTTGGCTTTGTATTTGAATATCCTTATTAAGTGTTCTTGCATAGCAAGACCACTTAATGTTATCTCACATATATATTATTATTATTATTAAGTGTTCTTGC